CGGGACCGTTGGGGGCGGGGTGTGTGGCCTTATGACACATTTCCGGTGATGTCAGGGGGTGTGGCCTTATGACACACTTCCGGTGATGTCAGGGGGTGTGGCATATGCTAATGAGGTATGCTAATGAGTTCCCCTAGCTCTTTTTCTACGAAATGACCCCTGGTTGTTAGACTTACTTTCAGTTCCATTGCAACGTGAGAAAGAAAGCAAATGCCAGCCAGTTCAAAATAGGCCTGTTGCCACAAAAGTTTTTGGACTGGTTGCTACAACTAGAAATTTATTAATTGGCTTGCTCCTATTCAAGTATTTGCAATGGAAAGTAAGTGGAAGTGTTATTAGCGATTATAAAATAACATTGTTAAATACAGTAGAGAAATTGTATTTCATCTCATCCTCAGTGACACATTTCCGGTGATGTCAGGGGGTGTGGCCTTATGACACACTTCCGGTGATGTCAGCCTTATGTCAGCCTTATGACACCCTTATGTTTCATCTCATCCTCAGTGACACATTTCCGGTGATGTCAGGGGGTGTGGCCTTATGACACACTTCCGGTGATGTCAGCCTTATGTCAGCCTTATGACAGCCTTATGACAGCCTTATGACTTCCGGTGATGTCAGGGGGTGTGGCCTTATGACAAACTTCCGGTGATGTCAGGGGGTGTGGCATATGCTAATGAGTTATGCTAATGAGTTCCCCTAGCTCTTTTTCTACGAAACGACCCCTGGTGATCGCCTAGAGTGGGCTGGCCCTTAGGGGCGCCAAACTGCACCCGGCCCCGTACTCTGGGAGTTTCTTGATTATTTGTGTTTTTCATCCTTCCTAAAATGCATTTATTTTTGAAAAATGGTGGGGCACACGGGGGCACGCCACAAGGGATCCTCGCCTAGGGTGCAAAATAAGCTGGGGCCATTAAATTAAAATAAGCAGAGACCATTAAATTAATGAGCGAGACCGACGAGGGGGACTTCCCCTCTCCCCTTGGTTGCTTTTATTCACTCCACTTCCTCGAGGCTCATTCCTGCCCCTGAGCCCCCCCCCTTCCTCATTCCAAGGAGGGGCGGCCCCGTTTGCTTGAATGGATGGATATCCCTCTGCCAGTCATTCAGCCGGTTCTTGCCTCTTCTTTCTCGCAGGGGATTAGAATGTTTCACATTTTTCTCTCCTTCCTACTTCCTCTCCGGGTGGACCGGCACATTCCTTTGGAAGCTTTGCCACCTTCCGGCTGGCCCCTGGAGATCTCCCGCCGGTCTGGCGTCGTGGTTGAGTGCGCGGACTCTAATCTGGGAGAACCGGATTTGATTCCCCACGCCTCCACTTGCAGCTGCTGGTTGACCTTGGGCAAGCCGTAGTTCTGTCGGAGCTGTCCTTGAAAAAGAGCCGTTTCTGTCAGAGCACTCTCAGCCCCACCTACCTCACAGGGTGTCTGTTGTGGGGAGGGGAAGGGAAAGGAGTTTGTAAGCCGCTCTGAGAC